CAGATCCTGAGATGCCAACTTCCTGGCCCAGGCTGGAGAGTCTGCAGCTTCAGTGGTGCCGCCCAGAGTTCCCAGCACGACTGCTCAGCTGACTTAGTGGAGGCCTTGGCACCCCTGTGAGCAGCGCACTGTGCCCTGGATTCGGGCCTGCCCTGTCCAACGCAGCTGGGGTTCCAGGGGGTGCATTTCTTGCTGCAGAGCAGATGCCTACCCCACCCTAGGCTGTGAAGTATGACAGCAAACCTGAGGCCTGACAGGACCCAGGCATCGTTTTCTGGGTCCTGTGTTGGTGGTGGGAGAAGGTGTGACTGTTGGCAGGACCCATGGAACTTGGTGCTGGCGGCTCTGCGGTGCCACTCAGCTCTCAGTACTCCTCACGGAGGTTGTGTCCCTGGTGTGGGTCGGGTTGGAGCAGAGCAGAGCAGTGGGGAGCTAGCCTCAGTGATATCAGGAAGTTGGTCACTTGCTGATGCACAGCCCAGACCATAGCCTTGCCATAGAGACTGCAGACTCCAGGACTGGGCCGCCTGAGGCCAAAAAAACAACTAATAGAGAGGGCTCACAGTCCCACCCATCAGCAGAAAATTGGATTAAAGATTTACTGAGTGTGGCCTTGCCCACCAGAGCAAGACCCAGTTCTCCCCACAGCCAGTCCCTCCCATCGGAAGCTTGCACAAGCCACCACTCTCCCCCACAGCTCCTGGTAACCACTGATCCTTTTACAATCCTTTTGATGTTGCCGTTGTTCTGGATTTTGGCCTTTCTATTACTAATCGTGTGCAGTGGCATGTCACGGTTGTTTTAACTTGCATATCTCTGATGACATATGATGTGGAGTATCATTTCATGTACCATCTGTGTATCTTTAGTGAGGTGTATGTTATAATGCTGACCTCGTAGAATGAGTTAGGAAGTGGTCCCTCTGCTTCTGTCTTCTGAAAGAAATTGTTAGGGAATTTGGCATAATTTCTTCCTTAAATTGTTGGTAGAATCCACGAGTGAACCCATCTGGGTCTGGTGCTTTCTGTTTAGGAAGTTTATTAATTATTGATTCAATTTCTTTAACAGATACAGACTTATTCAGATTGTCTATTAGTATTTTTCTTGTGTGAATTTTGGCAGATTGTGTCTTTAAAGAAATTGGCCCATTTTGTTTATTAAATCTGTGGGCATAGATTTGTTCATAATATTTCTTTACTATCTTTTTAATGCCCAAGGTATCTGTGGTCGTGTCCCCTCTTTCATTACTAATATTAGTGATTTGCATTGTCTCTCATTTATAGCTATTGCAGCTTTCGTTTGATTAGTGTCAGCATGGTATATCTTTCCTTATCTCATTATTTTTCACTTATATGTATCTTTATATTTAAAGTGGGTTTCTTGTAGACAACATATAGTTGGGTCTTGTTTATTTTTAATCCACCATGACATTCTCTTTCAATTTGTACATTTAGACTATTGCTATTAAAAGGGATTGTTGATATTGTTGGATTAATATTTACAACCTTTGTTTATTTTCTATTTGTTGTCTTTGATTTTTGTTCCTATTTTGTTTTCTACTCTCTTTTGCCTTTTATAGTCTTAATTGAGCAATTTATATGATTTCATTTTCTCTCCTGTCTTAGCATATCAGTTGTACCTTTAAAACAATTATTTTAGTGGTTGCTCTCGAGATTGCAATACACATTTACAACTAATCCAAGTCCACTTTCAAATAACACTATACAGTGTGGGTACCTTATAATAATAAAATATTCCTAATTCCTTCCTCTTGTCCTTTGTGTCATTGCTGATATTCATTTAACATGTATGTCAATATACATAATATATATACTTACATCTGTCTGTGTGTTAGTCACTCAGTCATGATCAACTCTTTGTAACCCCATGGACTGTAGCCCACCAGGCTCTTCTGTCCATGGGATTCTCCAGGCAAGAATACTGGAGTGGGTTGCCGTGCCCTTCTCCAATATACTTACACACTTGTAATATATACTTATGTATACATAGATATACATATGTGTGGTAGGAAGATAGATATATTTAATCAGATTCATTTTGCTATTATTATTTTGAACTATTTTTTCTTTTATCTTCACTTATTCCTTCTCCAATGTTCTTTCTTTATGTAGATTCAAGGTTTTGACCTATGCAGTTTTTCTTCTCTCTAAGGAACTTCTTTTAACATTTTTTGCAAGGCAGGTCTCCTGGCAACGAATTCCCTCAATTTTTGTTTGTCTCAGAAAGTCTTTATTTCTCCCTCACTATTGATGAAGCAGTTATTTTGCAGGGTATAGAATCCTCAGTTGTTGTTGTGTCAAATATTTCTTTTGTTTATTTTTTCTTTCTTCTCTGTATATTCCCATTATGTGTATATTACACCTCTTGTAGTTATCCCACAATTTTTGGATATTCCATTCTGTTATGGATTTTTGTTTATTTTTTTTGTCTTTCTTCTCTTTGCTTTTCAGTTTGAGAGGTTTCTATTGAGACATCCCTAAGCTCAGAGACTCTTTCTTCAGCTGTGTTAAATCTACTAATAAGCCTCTAAAAGTTATTATTTCTGTTGCACTGTTTTTGATCTCCAGCATTTCTTTTTAGTTCTTTCTTGGACTTACCACATGCCAGTTTGCAATGCCTACCTGTTTTTGCATGCTGCCTACCTAATGCATTAGAGCCCTTAGCATACTAATCATAGTTGTTTTAAATTCCTTGTTTGATAATTCCAACATTCCTTCCATATCTAAGTCTGGTTCTGATGCTTGCTCTTTGTCTTCAAACTGTTTTTTGCCTTTTAGGACATCTAGTGATTTTTTTCCTTTTTGATATTCAGACACAATGTACCACGTAAAGGGTGCTGCTGTAAATTGGCTTTTTAGTGGGGGAGGAGAGGTTCTGTTTTTAGGGTCCCATCTTCTGAATTGCTGCACCTCCAGACTGTGAGCATCTCCACTTTCCCATCCTCCTTAGGCAGGACTGGGTGACTGGCGTTATATTGGTGGACATATCATTATTTATCGAACTAACCCTCTTTGTACATTTGTCTCTAGTTTTTCTCTAGTTGAGCAAACACTGTAATGAGCATGTTCAGAGCTGAATCTTCTTGCGTGTCTTTGATCTTCTTAAGAAAGAGGCTCTAGAAATGTTCTTTCAGATCAGTGTGTATGCAGGGTCTCACATTTGATAGGACTTGCCAAACTGCTACCGCAAGTTTATATCCCTGACAGCAGTGGTCAAGTGCCTGTAGACTTCACACTGACCACACTGGCTGGCTTATGTTCATCCCTGCTTATCTGATAGACACCCAAAGAACAAAGAGGAGAGAAGGAATTTTCCTCTCTAAAGTTGTACTTTTTGAATGTTAGGTATTACATTTTAAAATGTATTTAACAGCAGTTTGGTTTTCTTCCTTTTTGTAAATTATGTGATTTTTGCCCTTGGCCTGTTTTCCTTTTAAGCAATTTATCTCTTTTTCCTGTTGTGTCTCTAAGTCCTCATGTAGCAAGAATATTCAGTCTTTCTTTCCAATTCTCTGCAAGTATTTTTCTAGAGTATTTGCCTTTTTGTCTTTTTCTTGCTGTTTTTAACGTAGAGGATTTCATTTTTCTCTAGCCAAATCTTTGTTATTTACTTCTTAAGACCATCCCCAGTTCAAGATTAAACATCTATCCATATTTTCTTCTTGGACTTTTAAGGTTTTTTAATTTTTATTTTCCCTAATATTTAAATCATTAATACTTATGGAATTAATTTTGATATATGCAGTGAATTAGAGAATCAACTTTATTTTTTAATGATTAGCCAATTTTAATCACATTTTCTAATTGGTTATTGGCAGTAGATGGGGAAACCAATGATTTTTATGTATTTATTTTAAAACTTGCAGCCTTTCTCAAGTTCTTACTTATTCTAATTTTTAATTGATACTCTGTTTTCTAGGTAGAAAATCATATGGTCTTTTTTCCAGTATTTGTACTTCTTATTTTTTTTCTTTTATTTCTTGGAGTCTAATTTCTTGACCAGTCTCAAATAACAGTGTGGATATTGTGTATTTTATTTGTTTTATTTGTCTTACCAAAATTAATCTGGCATTTTTTCTTTTTAATTTTACAAAATTAAATGTCTTTTTTTGTTGTTTATTTATTTATGCTCTCACAAAAGCGCTGACTCATAAGAAGCCCACGGTTGTCTTTTCCTTTGCGCCACCGGCAGGATCTCAGCTCCACGCTTTGGCTGAATCTGAGTGGAGCACACTGTGGGCGCAGGGCTCTGCTGGTCGCCCCCGAGTGGTCCCACTGTTCCCCTGGCCTCACCAGCCTGGGCCCCGACGCTCGCTGCTGCCCGTCATCCCCTCACTCCTCATCCCGCCCCCCACCTTGTCGCTGTCCCTGCACCTGTGGGTGCACCAGGCAGGTCGTCCCCTTGCTCCTCGTCCTCTGCCACCCTCATCCACTGTCCTATCAGCTTCGGGCACCTGTGTGGGCATTAGGTGGGGCCACCCTCTCTGGCCACCTGTCTCCCTGCTTCACGACCCTCCTGTCTCTGCCTCTGTCCGCCTTCTGCCTCTATCCTTGATACCGTCTGGCATGACGAATTTAACAGGCTTGTTCAGACTTTCACGACTCTAAGTAAATGAATTAGATTGGGTCATATTTTGTGCTTTGATGGAGGTAGAAACACAGAAAGGATTAGTTGAATTTATATTTATTGAAAACAATCTTATCCATAAGTAATTACTAGGAACATGAATTTTGAAGTGCTCACTAGATTGTAATTCCATACACTTCCATCGGAGGGTCTTGGCCTCGAAAATCAATACCAGAGAGGAAAAGCGATCGCAGGTGAAGATGTGGGGATGAACGGTTTTCATGTCAGATCTCATAACGAGTCATCACTTAGAGTCTTTCCTCAGCATCAGTAACACTGACTAATCTCTTGGTTCTGTTTCTGTGTCTGTTTTCGTGCATGTCCCTGGGCTTGTCTCCATGGGCCACTTCCAGGATGAAGTCTTGACGGTAATCAGAAGAGTGGATGACAACTGGGCGGAGGGCAAGCTGAGAGACAAGATTGGGATATTCCCACTGCTATATGTGGAGGTGAGACCGCCCCCACCGCCCCGCCCCCCTGATGTACCTGGAGGTGAGGTCCTGCCCCAGCCCCTCCCGCTGCTGTACCTGGAGGTGAGACAGTGCCTCAGCCCCGCCCCCTGCAGGTGGAGGTGAGGCCACGCTCCAGCCCCGCCCCCTGCAGGTGTAGCTGAGGCCAGACTCCCGACCCTTCTCTTGCCCTTTGTGGTTTGCTTCACCAGACCCTGGGATGCCCTGGCCTTGGAGCCCCTCTTCTGAAGAGAAGGAGCCTGCCCCGTAGTCTTCTGAATTCAGGTGGGGTTGACCTTTGGGTCACTCCCTCGTCTCACCATGTGGCAGGAGGCAGGGCTTCCCTGAGGACTTCTCTCTTTACAACGGAGCCTGAGCCCTGTTTCTTTCTCCAAGACTCTCAGGGTTTCCCCCAGAGGCACCTGCCTTGATCCCCCCACACCCCGCCCCTGACTCTGCCAGCAACTGAACAGATGTTGAGGCTCCCAGACTCTGGGTTCGGGGCGGCTGGTGAGTGGCTGGTTCCTGGAGTGGAGCACACTTGGGGCTTACTGCCTCTTCTCTGGGGCTGATGGCTGATGTGAAGTAGGTATTCAGTGAATGTGTCACAGGCAGTGGCCAAGTGGGGCGTGTCCACAACCTTTGACCTTTCAAGTCCTGGTTGCCGTGGGCTGTGTGTGTGTCTGCTGTTTGTCAGGCACATCTATGTGTGCGTCCCCAGCCTGACCCCACGCTGCACCTGTGCACCCCCGAGTCATCCTTGGAAATCGTTTCAGCCAGTGCTCACAGTGCCTGCACCCTGGACCCTTCTGAGTCCTTGTCCTGCCTCTCACACATCCCAAGCATGAACACCAGGACTGCACCGTCTGCCCCCATGCAACTGATGAGCCGACAGAGGCCCAGAGCTGAACATGATCACAGGTGGACGTCTCTCGACGGCTCTCAGCGCCCCCACTCAGAGCCCACAGTCCCCAATTCAGGGTGGGCTGCACTCAATTCCTGGCATGTGGCCAGCTTTGCCTTTGTTGAGCCCTGTGGGCCAGTGGGCTCCGGGCCTTGCAGGATGGAGGCTGCTCTCTGGGGCGGGCAGCCTGGGCTCTCTGCATCGTGGCGTCCTCTGCTTTTCCAGCCGCATCTCTGGCCCTTTCCTCCCATTTCCTAAATGTCCTGCTCCCTGCAGTTCTCATACTCGCTCTAGATCAGCTTCCCAGGAAATTCTGAGACCCTCCCCAGCAGTAACGCCACACGCACATACATGCTCTTCTCTGGTACCTCATGAGAGGCACTCACGGGCACACACTCTGCCCTCTGGCTCCTGGAATGGACCCCTGTCCTCACCTGTGCATTTGCTCCAGTGCCTGGGGTGGTCTCTATCCTACTGCTTCAGACCCAGAAACCACACAGCGCCGTCCAGATGTGCAGAGTCAGACCCTCCCCCCCGATATCTCTGGTCAGTGGAACCTCTTACCAGGCCGACCCTTGAGGGGCCACTCAGAGATAGTCATGGGGACATTCCTAGGAGCCTATCATGTCGCCCCAAACTGGAGCCATGTGTTTCCTTGTTTTGTGCTCTGGGCCCCTGGAGGCCAACTGACTTGGCTCCACATGTCCTTGTGGGCGGTCACTGGAATCCGCACCTGGAGGGACAAGGTGGCTGCTCCTCTGCCCAGGGAGCCAGCACTTCTTGGGAGCTTCGCTGGGGACCCCTGCCCTGTAGTGAGAGGAGCTGATCCCAGGGAGACCACTCTGTGGAGGGGGAAAAGTCTGGAAGCAGAGAAGTCTGGAAGCAGAGGTGAGCAGGGAGTGGGAGACTCTGAAGAGGGGCGAGGAGCCTAGCGGTGACCCCAGAGTCTTAGGGCCAGAACACAGTAGGGCCGCTCTGGTGGACCAGGCCGAGGTGGGAGGCCTGTGAGTCGCCAGGGCACCGAGGACTGGATGGAGCTCGCCATCCCCACAGATGGGGTGGAGGTCAGCCCCACCTGTGGTTGCAGCAGGAGCTCCATCACAGACAGGGTCGCCCACACCCCAGGGGTAGAGAGGCCGACCTGACTGCCCTCACGGAGGAGGTGGCTGGAGAAGAGGGTCTCGGAAGGAACAAGAGATGAGGATGGGACGTTGAAGTTCTGTGCCTAGCTGTCCTTGTCTCAGCCTCTCTGCAGAAGGTTGTTTGTCAAGAAAGAGTGTTCAGGACGCAGCAGGAGGTGATCTGGGAACTTCACCTGAGGTGTTGAGACCTGTGAGGGGCAGGGAACCGAGGGAAGACGTGGAGGCTAGGCAGGCTCCTGGTCAGCCGAGCAGTGGTAGACGTGCCAGAGGACAGGTGTGCGGCTGTGATGCCACAGCCACAGGGTGAGGGTGGCTTTCAAGGAGGAGAGGACATGGCCCAGAGGAGAGGGCTGTGGGCTGCAGGTTGCAGCCCAGGGTTGCACATGGGTGTGAGAGGCTCCACGCGGGCGTGAGGGGCTAAAGGGTGGAGGTGGGGGTGTCCAGAGTGGTGCTGCAGGAGTTCTGTCTCCCTCTCACTGACCCTCCATATCCATCAAAGCTGCCCGCATCCATCCGTCCACACAGCTGGATGGATGCGTCCGTAGTGGTGTCTGTCGAGAGCCTATGTCCTAAACCTGGAGCCGTGTGCACATCTGGTGGGCCTGTCCTCTGGCTCCTGCTCCCCCTTCTGCCACCCCACACGCTGGGATCAGGATCTGCCCTGATCTCCCACAGCCCTGGGGTACCTGCAGATGCCTGTATCCTGGATGAGGAGGTAGGGAGGATGAGGATGTGGGGTGAGCCCCAGAAAGTGGGGGCAGCCTCATCCTGGGCATGGGGCGTCCAGAGAGTTCTGACCTTGGGACCAGATCCAAGCCTCTGTCTGCTGGTGGTGCTGCAGGCCTCAGCTGATCCCTGAGGCTGATGTGGTGCTATTTACGGATCCGGGAGAAGATGGAGGCAAAAACTGAAGTCTTGATTTAGCCAAATAGATGTAATGCCCAAAATGGTATGGTTGCTAATGGCAACTGCTTCCCGTGTGAGAGGCTTGGTCTTCAGCGCGATGATTGCTGTGGAAGTTGTCTGAACCTCGGCTAATTGCAATGTTGAACTTGGCCTTTCTTGTTCCTGGAGCACTATCGTCTCCTTGTCACTTTGCCTTATGAAGAGAGCATATTATTCTGAGCGTCCATCTCCAACTGTGGTATCAGAGCTGCCAACATCCCTGGAGACAAACAGCATTGAAGCTGTCTGTTCTGTTTCAAAGGTGCAGGCTGCCCCGCTCACGTGGGGTTTGCTGACCCAGTAACTGTTGGCTGTTTCTTCACCTTTGTCTCAGGCCCCGGGGCAGGCAGAGTGTTTCCAGGGAGGAGGCTGGGGAGGGTCCTTGGCTTCTAGTGGAAGGTCCACGCCCAGGCTCGGGAGAAGCAGAAGGACACAGGAGCCCCGATCCCCCTCCAGGCCTCAGTGCCTCCACAGACCCTAGGTGTACTTGGGATCCAGGGAATAAACCTGATGGGGTGTCCCTGGTGGTGGTGGCAGAGCACAGCTCCTGGAAAAGAAACCCTGCATGTTGGGGATGCATGACACTGAGAGGAGGCGTTCTGACTTCCTGCTCTCATTGGGGGGTTGGGGGGTGGGGGTTTCTGACTTCCTGCTCCCATTGGGGGAGTAGGGAGGTGGGAGGCAGTTCTGACTTCTTGCTCCCATTGGGGGATGTGGAGGGGTACTGGAAGGCTGCTCTCCTGGTCTGACTCTGGACCCATAGGCTACCTGGGCTTCACCCAGCTGTGTGATGCGTTGGTATCAAGTTTCTCCCTCTGTCAGTGTGGACGGTGCCATGTCCAGAGGGCACCAGGAGGACCCAAGGAAGTACCAAGCACAGCCCCATGTGGGTGGTCAGCACCACCCAGAGGCAATGGTTAGTGGCCGCTGGCATCTGTGAGCGGCGTGTCTGGGGGACGAGGCCTCTGGAAGGGGTGGGAGGCCCTCACAGCAGCCGGGGGACCTGGCCGGCCGTTCCCACTCTCTCAGCTACCCAGGGAGTCAGGGCAGCGGTTCCGAGCAGAGGGGCTCCCTTGGATAAAGGGCCTCTTCTAAATACTTTCTTTCCTACTATGAACGACCAGCACTGCCAGCTTCTAGGAAGTGGCCCTGGTGCCGACACGGGGATGGCTGTGTGGCCGTCAAGATGTTAGAGGTCAGGGCAGATCTGCAGCCAGGTGGTTCTCCAAAAAGAGTCAGTGGGATGGGACCCTTGGGGGGCAGCCACACAGACCCCAGGCCCCCAGGCTAGTGGCCTGATGAATGGTATCAGTTCAAAACCAGCAACTTGCAGCCACGTCTGGATGATTGACTGTGAAGCTTGAGGTGGATTCACGTGGCGGCAGCTATTCTGAGACTGTCCCGTCCCATAGCTTCCCTCGTGGCCAGCAGGTGGGTGGGTGGAACTGGCCCCAGAACCTCCCTGCGGCATCTTGTCACAACCACCCCCCTGCCCCATTCTTTCCTACAGAGGGTTTTGCTTGACTCCGGGGCTTCAGGCCCCACCTGTATGGAAGGAGGCAGGAAGCGGCCTCGGTGGGGTAGCACATGGGAAGCATGTGCCCAACAGATGGACAGACAGGTGGGCAGGGCCTCTGTGCCACGGACAGGTGGGCTGGGCGTCCAGGAAACTGGTCTTTAGAAGGTGGATGGTGTCTTCCTCAAGTTCTGGAGGTGTCTTCTGATGCGCACACTGGCCTTGCTGCTCAGACGTGGGGAGTGTGGTCGGGGTGTCCCCTGGTGCTTCCCCACCGACTCTGGGTTCTGGCTGGTTCTGGCTCTAGGTCCGCTGATGACCTCTTGCCCTGTGAATACTGACCCAGTTGGTTTACAGGCTGCATTCCCTGCCGCTTTGCCTGCCTAGCACCTCTGAGGGGAGGCGGTGTTGTGAATTTGGCTTTTCGGATGTGGGGTGTTCTTGCATGCCTGCCAGTATTTGCAGGCCCTGTCCTGGGATGTACTGAGCTCTG